CTGGTGACTGGATAAAGATTCAGCAGACCCTTCAAAAATCTCTCCACTAGGTCATGTGAGAAAAGGGGTCTGTATGATGAAATAGCCACTAAGTGTACGCTAACAGGTGATAACAACAGACCCTCTGTTTCTAAGTGTAACAGATATTCTAAGACCATCTGAATGGGGGCGGAAACTGGATCTACAATTCCATTTTCTGCCATATCATGAATCTTTTCCATTTGAAGTCATAACACTTTCTAGCAGAGCGTTTCCTAGCATTAATAACATTCACTGAACCTCAGTGGAGCATGAGCGCTCTATTCCCATCCAAGTCCTTTTACCCAAGCTGTTAGAGGTAACAATTTGAGATCTGGGTGGAGCACTTTCCCCTGTGGCTGTGAAAATAGGTCCATCAATAATGGCAGAGTTCTGTAATTGACATGGGATAAGTGGAGTAGGTCGGCATACCATTGTTGTCTCAGCCACGCTAGAGTGATTATAGTCATCCTGGCAGAATCTTGCTTTAGTTTGTTTAGAACTTTGGGAATTAAAGGGAATGGGGGAAATGCATACATGAAATCCATTCCCCAGTCGGGGAGAAATGTGTCTGTCAAAGATTGACTGTCCACTCCTGCTTCTAAGCAGAAAAGAGGGCATTTTGCATTGAGTGTGGTGGCAAACAGGTCTGCAGTCAAGACTCACCAATGTTTGAAGATATCCTGAATTAATGAATTCTTTGGGGGCCATCTGTGCATTTGTGACAATTCTCTGCTGAGGCAATCTGCTAACTTGTTGTGTTCTTCTACAATATGTAAGGCAATCAGGTAAATGTTGTACTGTATGCACCAATCCCATAGCTCTATTGCTATGTTGAACAGGTGGGTCAAATGAGTCCTTCCTTGTTTGTTCACGTAATAAACTTCAGCCATGTTGTTTGTGGCAACCTGGATAACTTTATTGCGTATCTGCAGGAGAAACATTTTGTGGGCCAAATGGATTGCCCGTAGCTCCAATACATTTATGTGTAACTGGGATTCTTTGAGGCTCCAAAGACCCTTTACTACCTGAGTTTAAAGATGTGCCTACCTTGGATGCATCCAGGGTTACTATGAATTTTGGCTGAGATGGGTTGAATACTTCTGTCATAACTATAAAGGGAAGGGTAACAGCCCTCCTGTGTACAATACTAT